ATTCCGTCTCAAAATGCGTGATAGAAAGGATTCTAATTTTGAGTCATGATACTGCTACTATTTTGACCTTCGAATTGACTTTTGACTAAAGCTTTTTCCTATTTTGTGATATGCAAAAGGTCCACCGCATATCACTGTTGGAATTGTTCAATACCGTTCTAAACATATGGCGTAGTCTCAAGATTTTTTTCCCAGCTTTGAAAGCACAAAATATTACAATGCACAACTTTAACACAATAAACAATCAAAGTGCAAAATTTTGAATTACTCTTTATCGTCATAGTACATTAATCGACAATGAAACGCTCGATCAGTCTACTCTTTCCTCATCCTTCATTTCGCTGAATCAATATTTGAACTATGACTAAATGACTAACACTCATGTCGACGAATCGTTCAACCAACAATCTACTCATATTCTCTCAAATATACTCAAGAGCTAAAAGAGTAATGGCTTTTACACGCTTTAAACTATATGGTTGTTTTCTTTCCTGGAGTAATCAAAGGTAGATGCTTTTTTCATTCACAACCACTTCATGAACAATACTCGCTTTTTTCTACCACTGTACTACAACAGAAAGTCGGAGAAAATTACAAAATGAAACTAATGAGTAATCCGCGATGGATGAAACGCGGGTTTCGACTCCCGTCTGAGGTCGTTTTTTTGTTCACCACTTCAATTCTCTTAGGTGTATTAGAATCATCGTACTACTGCGGAAAATGCAGTGAAAACATCAGACATTATGAGTATTACATATCCTAAATTTCAAAAGGAAAACAATGGACTGCATTTCATTACTATCAATATTGTCGTCGTTTTTCGCGTATTGATTAATGAATGTTTCCTTATTATAACTAGTATTTTGTGATGTATTTTCCAACATTTTGTTTAAAATCGAGATGGGATGTGTTATCCTGAAAAATTTCCAAGCTGTGATCAGATGAAACTTTACGAGCTGTTTTTCGTCTTCATAGTCGTTCTACTCAACCGTGTCGTAATCATGGTGAGAATTTTTTATTCAATTTTATCAGTAATACTCTTTAACAAATTATTCAGAATTCTCATAAATATTGAATTAGTTGCGTTGTCTTAATTTTAAGGATTCATTCAATATTCCACCAAAAGGAATGTGCTGGGTCGAAAAGAACGGGGATTGTATGCGATGCGATTGTAAAAAGCCTTTGAAGTGCTACAGAGGCACATGTCGATGAATAGCATATTCTGTAAAACTCAAAGTCTGTTTACTGTTTTGCGGAATAAATTTGTACTCTTCGAATGATTTTATCAACATATAGCTGAAATATAACATGTCGTCAATGAATTTTATCTACTCACTGCTACACATTGTATATGAGAAAGAGAGCCAAGAAAACTTCATTGATGTAGGTCTGCATAATTTTGCTTGTGACGACTGATCTCTGAGCGATGCCCATATATACATAACAAAGCAAAATATTATCAAAGGGTGATTACTATCGTCAGCAATCGCCTTGTATACGAGGGCATCGTCGGGTGAGGTTTCATCGGAGTGAGGCTCCTCCAAACAAGATTCTATTAGTCCGAAACAAAAGCGAAAACCATAAGGAAGACGAATGACAGTAGACTTTGAATCGAGTCACTGTCTCCTTCCAAATTTCATTTTACACGAAGTATTTTAACATAATATGCGATTTTAGCACCACCTACATGCAGTCCACTTCTTCGCATACTCATCATTAGTAAAACTTTTCTGATTTTTCGCTTTTGGGCTCGACTGCTATTTGAGGATTCTCGTCTTCTCCAAGACTTTTGCTAAAAACTGAGCGAGTTAATTCTCCGTGTGGAATTCAGATAGAAGGGCGAGTTGTGCGGATTAGAGATTCATAGTCAGATAACCGCGTTTATGATGAGCGACATCACTGATACTGTGCACTAATGGTGATTGATACCATCAACAATAATTCCGTTTTTCATTGCACTTTTCGCTGTTATTAACATTCACCACACATTACAAGAAAAAGCTCTTCATTATGTTGGGTCGTTCCAAAAGTCTTGACACTAGAGCAATAACTATCAAATTCAGAAGCAACTAGAATTGCATAAGTTTAGTATCGTTCAAATGCGTATTTTTTTGCAAATATTTTGATATTTATCTTTCTTGTATTTTTTTGAGATGGAGATATCGTGGAAACAAATTCGCTTGCTACTCATGTGCGCGAATGTCGCGCAGGGGAAAATGCTAGTGGCGCGCAAGAATAATGGAGCTTCCTGTAGATGACCGGAGCGCAACTGATCATTAAAACTGTTTTATCCAGCTTTGAACTTCGCGAACCACTTCCTAGCCGTCCTTTCCCTAATCGCGTCATCCCTCCGAACTCCATGAATTTTGCGGCCACTTCACTAGCATTTTTGCCGACGAGCCATTGGTGCGTGAACAGCAAGTGAAAATGTTCTCACAACAGTTCCATCGTGAAGCAATAGGATACCAAAGTGTTCACAAGAAAATGCATATTTGAACGACATCAAAATCGTGCAATTTTACCTTGTAATTATTATTTGAGCCAACATGTCATGTGGTCTCTTAAATAAGCTGACTTATAGAGCCCGATACACGTGTTCCAACCTTGACGGTCTCAACAGTCGGGCAGTTACCCTTCGTCTTTAGACAATCCTCTCGGGGCGCTTAGTCCCCTATACTATGAGTAGGCGACGACGAACACTTTACACTGTATGTCCGGTGAAATTATCACCGAATATGCAGTGTTGTACACTTGATTGCCCTTAGCTGGTACCATTAGTATATCAAACTTTCTTTTCTCCTACTCTTAGTATAAGGGATAGATGTTGGTTCAAATACTAGATTGGAAAGAAAGTTCCCATCGCTTGATAAAACATCCAAAATTTATGCATATATTCAGACAACAAACAACAAGAGCTATTCTTCAGAACACAGGCCATCATCATCCACCACTTTTTGCCATTGGTCTGCCAGGTTTCGGATCTGATCGGAGTATCACCACTCTTTCGGCTTTGAATTAAACACTTTTGACATGCTCTTTCAACTTCATCGAAAGAATCAAATCGGCGATCTTTTAAAAAGTGTTGCATTGATCGGAAAAGGCCGTTATCAGATGGCGCAAAGTTCGGACTATAAAGTGAATGCAGTTGAATCTCAGCTCCGTCCAATTCCAAACTTTGCCTTGGACTTTTGGCTGTGTGTGGTTTTGCCTTGTTTTGCTGAAACAAGGCGCCCTTTCGACGGCCAACTTCCGGGTACTTCTCGGCCAACTTGTCGTAAACTCTGTTCAGTTGCTCGCAGTAAAGATCGGCGTTCATAGATTTCTGTTGATTTTGCAACCACACGGTCGCCCCAGGCTTTGTTGATTCGGTGAGCAGCATCAGCAGCATTTGAACCAAATTTGTACTCGTAAAGCACCAACAAACGCCTTTGTTCCCTGGACAGTTCCATTCTGTAGCAGATATAGACAAATTATATATCAATAGATGCGCAAGAAGTAGACCTTTCAAATATTATGAAAATCAAACACGATTCATGCGAGAAAACGACATTCCCATCCAAACGACGAAAATTTTCTTTCCAGCCTATTGTGATGCAATCTGAGCATGGTCTCAACAAAACACTCGAAAAGAAGGCATCTAGTTTTAATTACTTCTGTTGAATAACTTAGGTGCTTGTTGCCTTAGCGCCACCATTTATAGAACGACCTGATATTAAAACAGGGTTGATCATAAAGTTCCAGGAAATTTTGGAAGTTTTCTTTTCACGAACTAGCTAACAACTAAAAAAGCAATAATTATTTTTCAAAGTATAAACCACCATTGTCTACGGCTTTTTGCTATCGTTCTGCAAAATTGCGGATCTGTTCGGAGCATTCCGGCTCTTTTGAATCGGAAAACTCTTGACACGCTTCTTCAGTTTCATTTAATGATTTGTTTCGACGGCGATTCAAAAATTGTTGCACTGATCGGAAGGTTCCATAATCGGATAAAGTTCATGCGGAGGATGAGGAGGCTTCTTGTGGACGAAGTCAAAGTGATGCAACTTGTTGACAACAGTCCGCTAAGAAAAACCGAGCACTTCAGCCAAATCATTGGTACTCGATGAAGGCTCGGCATCCAACACAATTTGCAAGTCACTTTCATCTAAAGCAGATAGCAGACCAGACCGAAGCATGTCTTCGAGATCGAAAGTAGTTTCTTTGGATCGCTTAAACCATCAGTCCACAGTCGATCTTGCTGCCGTACCAGCACTTTCTCCCTCATTAATCTCATGACGGCTTTAAGAATCGTTGAACCTTTCCTCTAATGATGGCGAGTCAATACAGGCGAACTATAGTGTTTAATAGACATTTTGGAGCTGAAATTAAGAACTCGGTAACTATATGTAAAACTGTCAACACTGCGAATCGGTACTAGAAGCTAAGGAATGAAGGCAAGCTAAAGCACAACCTCTATTTCATTCCTCCTACAGGAAATGAGCTTTGACCAGAAACATTTGTTCCAAGTGTTTGCAAGGGTCGAAAAGTGAAAAAAAGTCACTACACTTTGAGACGGCAAATAGCCTGAATCTAATCTAATAATTAAATAATCTGAAATGACCAAAAGGAATGGCCATTGGTACCACGTTAAATAAAGGGACAGGCTCGATAACGAAAGCAATAATGTGTTATACCTAAGTGATAAAATACCTTCAAAGCTTCTTTCAAAACTGACAAACTAAGTACCGCTACTGAAATATGTCTTATAAACAGTGCTGCTGTGTGAATCTCTGTTGGTTATAGAGATTCCACCTAATGCATTACTCCATCAAGTGGTTCTGGTCTGTATGTATGACCGTCTATATGGAACAGAGGACAGCGTGATATGCCTCAGTGGTAAAGACGGAGATGGCATGAAGCTCACTTTGTGTTGTTACATATATATCCCGACCAAACCTGTTAAAGGTTGGTGGCTGACAACTAACATAGAGATGTTGAAGAACAAGTGGTGGTGCGAATGTACCGCGGTGGTGTAGTGGTAGCGCATCCCCCACATGGATGAAACGAGGGTTCGAGTCCCGCCTGAGGTCGTATTTTTGCTCACCACTTAATTTTCTTTGGTATATATGCAACATCATAACACTGCGAAAAAATGCAGTAAGAACACTAGAAATGTTGAGTATTGCTTATCACTTTGTGCTTTTATAAAAGGGTTTTTGGATGGGAAGTCATAATCGCACAAGCACCTCTTAAGTCAAACATTGATCAGAGAAACATAAGGGTGACATTTTAAGGTAATAGTTGAAATCTTAGGCAAGAGTTAGTGGCGTTTGGACCCAAAAGTCTGCAGACCTTCTGGATAGACTTCAAGAATTCAGTGATGAACAAAAAGGAGGAGTGCCATAACATCATCAATCAAATGACACTTTATCCTCAGACTAACTATCTAGTCTGGGAAGTAAAGAGCACTATCACACATCAGTAGACATCTTTGTTTCAACTGACCTACCGACTTGACAGGAAGGAGAGCGGTGGCCGGATTTCAACGTCATCTCACGTGAAGAACTTAGGTAGCCTTACCCTAACAACACGATGAGTGGTTTCTCTTAATAAGCGCTGTTTGTAAATACCGTAGATTTTCATTCATACTATAAGCTCTTCGCAGATTTATACGAATAACATTTCATAAATACGCTCAGGTTCTGAGGAGACGAAATTGTCCAGAACTTAGCCATAAATTTTGTAGAAGGCATAGCAACCTCGCGCAAGTTTGGACAAAAATCACTTGCTTGATTATTCATTACTATTCATTCTTTATTTCAAAGGCCGAGGTATAGCAAAAGCCTGTGTTTTGAGTTATCACGATGTGTGAAGGAATCACAGTGGTTCTCGAAATCCTCCTTTTGTTCAATTTTACACTTGCAAATACAAGTTTTCTGTGAGCTATTTCAAATCATTTGCTCCGTGACCTTGGAAACATTTTGTTGGAATTGCTTATACCACATCATATTTTTTATTCTATAGATAGGCGATTTGTTTGATTCTACGTTCTAATCCCACAAGCCCTTCACCCCTTCACAGCTGACAAATTTCTCTGCGTTCTCTCTCTATTTTTTCATCCCCAACCTTTTCTTCTTACCCATATAAGATTTCCTGTGTACTTTGCGCCTTCCATGAATTACATATAAATTTCAATATTATTATTTGAGCCAACGTTTCATGTGGTCTGTTAATGGACTCCTGTACAGCCCGATACACGTGTTTCGACCTTACAGTTTCGTCAGTCGGGCAGAACTCTTCGTCTTTTAGTCTTTTAGTTAATCCTCTCGAGAGCCCTACACTCCTCATAAAGAGGTAAGTGACGACGAACGATTTACATTGTAAGTCAAGTGAAACTATCACCAAACATACAGTGTTGTACATTTGATTGATCTTTGGCTGGTATTTTTATGATATTATACCATTATCTCGAGTGCTTTATAAAGACCACGCTCAAATTTGTAGAATAAAGGACAAAGGGTTGTGCCCGAATGACGAGACTGAGTCGAAACACGTGTAGCGCCCACTTACAGACCACGTGACATGCTGGCTCAAATGGGATATATTGAAATTTGAGCGTGGTCTTAATGAAATACTAGAGATAAAGGTAAATATAAATTATGCACATTGGAAACATAGTATCCATATAGTGAATCGACATGTGCTTTCAATAGTAGCATGGTTACTTCTAGTCAGCAATTCATTCTCCGTGCATCATCTGAAGACTTGTATAGCGGCCCGACCGACTCATTCCAATTTTTTCAGTGAATGAGATTTGTGGTTGATAACCCAGAGATAAGTTGGAGAGAAATTATTTGTACGCTCCTATACTGTTTACGTTGTGATATGGCGCATGTATGTTTATAAGGAGCCGGAGATGACGGTCCATTCATTATGTTCGACATAGTTGCACAACTCATCACATGACATTGCGCTCCTTGGAAGAGATTACAGTAGTTTCCAGAATTCTCTTCATATATGCTGTAAGGAGAATTCTATATTATTGCCGATTACTATGTTACCAGTGTACATCTATGTTAGTCGCCTTTTGTTTTAGCAGCGTAACACAAATACTTCATTTTCAACGGAAGTCCCATATAATACAGATAGGCCACACGAGCTATACACAAAATCTTCACTGTAAGTTGAATTGTGAATCAATTCACCGTTTCTTTTTAGTGTTTACTAAGGACCACCACTACCTTATTTGTAGATCTGGGTCCCAGTCATCTGTATTTGATTTCTCACAAGCAAGGTTAGTACTAGAATGATGAAATGTCTATTTTTTCTTTGTCTAAGCTCAACAAATGAATTATAAGTAGATGCAAATATGAAGAACCGTCTCTTAAACGATAGAATGAAAAAACTTATCTGTAATTTCTCTGGAGCACAGGGATTTGCACTTGAAATTCTTTTGAACGTGCAGTTTCGGCAAATTCAGAGAAGACAAGTTCAGATTTGAACATTCTTCTTTGGTTCATAAGGTGGCGCCGTGGCCGAGTGGTTGTGATGCTCGTCACGGAGCGCGTGGACCCGAGCCTCACCACCAGCTTTCTCCGGCAGTCAACAACAACGCCCTAGGTAAAGCCACAGCCAGGCTATCTCCGAGATTGCAAGGAGAGCGCTCAATCAGCATTCTACGTCGTTTAAGAGGAAGACGAAAAGCGAATTGAATGTCAGAAGTACTGGGATCCACACAGTGGAAAAAAGCAGTGTGATGTCGATTCAGATAAAGTGCTGAGGTGCTAAAGCGTTTAGTTTTTGAACAAACATCGGTGGTCTGAAATATGAGCAGTAGCATAGTCTTAATCAAATCCCTAAGCTTTCGTGCTCCCTTGAATTTATTATCAGTACAGTTCTTCGTGAGTCCGGACCATCTCCTATCATAAATTTTTCTGCTGCAAATCATTTTTACATTTTTACCAAAATTGGGAGTATCGAAGATGTAGTCAAGATTTAATGAAGCAGTTCCATCATATAAGAAGTAATATCAGGGGCTCAGCGGTTATAGCACAGTGGCGTGTAGCCGGCAACACAAAGCTTGCCTGATTCTGCGTTTTGGGATAGCCAAGCTCTCCATCCATCAGCGGTCGTGTGCAAAACATGTATAATGATTTCTGCGGACTTATGAGAACAGGCCGACCCATAGGGAAATTTTATACTGTTACCTAATGAGTTACCACAGGTAGATTGGTACTGTACAATACTGAAACAGCTTTTGTTATTGTGATGTCGTACGCATTGAGATGCATTCTGAATAATGGGATTAAATGAAGCCTAATTAATTGATACGGATGCATACTGGATCTCTGCTGAGATTGGAAGTGTTATACAAAGTGATTATTAAAAAGCAAGTGAACAAAAGTTATAAGATGGTGAGTACCTCACAATCCTACAGGTTCCACCACTTATTCCATTGGTACCGATGCCTCGCAAGGCAAATACAAAAGTCTCCGAAATCTGCGTTTTAGATGATTCCAATCGAAAATTTTCATGTATACTGCCGTCAGTGCTCGTTTAAGTCATTCGCTTATCGAAACGCTTAAATTGTTTTGGAAGATAGTTGCGACCTCTTCACCATAGCCTCTGATTCCAATGCATCGGATTTAGTCATTCCCAAACAATTACAATGGCAATTTACCCCCTTTCCTCTGCGGGATAGACATGCCTTGCCGTGTCAGAGCGATGTTGATCCAGCGACTATGCATGTCTACCAAACTTCCAGCCAATCTTGATTGTTCTTCGTGATACTTTTCTGTTAGCTAAGCGCCGTTTCGACCTTTAGAAGAAACTCATCTTGCGTTTTTTTTGACAACTTAGTAATCATTCTATAGCTTAAATCAAAAGAATTTGAGCGGTGTAATCCGTCTTCAAAAAGGCCTTGCTATTGCACTGAAAGAGCAAAAATAATATTCTGTTCCTCATTCAAAGATTTTTCGCTAACCAAGCTTTTGCTTCAGAATTTAGAAATTGAACTTCAGAAATTAATAGGCAATCGATAAGTCAAATTCTAGGAATTTCAATAATTTATTTGGTTCCCATAATGAATCACGTATTGCGCTGTGACAGCCAAAAGAAAGTTGAGTTTCGCGAAACTGGATCACTTCTACTATCCGCTCCTCAATTCGATACCTTTGAAAAAAACGTATTGGTCGTTTTCGATGTTTAAATAACTGTTCAATACTTCAGATCATAAGAATTCTAGAGGGTGCATTTCATTTTCAAAAAGGCCTTTCTATTGCACTGAAAGAACAAAAATAAAACTTTGTTCCCCATCCAAGGATTTCTCGCTGACCAAAGCTTTTCCTTCAGTGCCTCAGCAATTAATCGACTGATTCGATCATAAAATTTCCAGTGATATATTGCCTTCGAATACCGACCTCATATCACGCTGTAAAAGCCAAAGGATATTAGGCTTCTCAAAACTGGAAAAATGCAATTAGTGCGAGACCCAATTTTCTTTTGGTTCTTATGAAGCATTAAGAAGTCCGTTAAAAAAACCAAAAATCGCTGATATCCTTGAGATTCGATCGATCGTTGTTGTTTGAAATTGTAGAAAAGGAGTCCTACTCAGCGAGAAATCTTGGAATGAGGAACAAGTTATCATTTCTGCTCTTCCAGCGCAATAACAAGGCCCTCCTCAGAGCAAAATACGCCATTCAAATTTTTTTGATTCAAGCCATCGATTGGTTATTTGAACATCAAAAACGATCATAGAATGCATTTCTCACAATGTGTCGAATTGAAAAACGGATAGTTGAAATGATCCATTTTTTTTTTGCAAAATTCAATCTTCTTTAGGCTGCTACAGCGTAATACCAGGTCCATAATAAAAACCGGATAGATTTTTCCAAATTTCAAGATTTGATCTATCGATCGGTTAGTAGATTTCTGAAGGAAAACCTTTGATCAGCGAGAAATCTTTCTATAAGGAACAAAAATTCATTCTCGCCCTTTCGGTGCAATAAGAAGGCTTTTCTGAAGACGAGATATACCAGTCATATTCTTCTGATTTGTGCTAACGAAAAACCATCTGAACATTGAATAAGAC